TACGTACGGCAATTATATTGTAAAAGGAAAACAGTTAGACGCAACAGATATATTATATATTTATGTTGAGCGCAATAGCTCGCGTATCATACGAATCAGCGCGAAGCTACAAATCAAAACTACCGCAAGTCGCTCGCGAGCATTTCGCATTTCAGTGGAAAATCAGCTCAGCCCTGTTCTATGTTCTATGATGCCGAGCGTGTAAGCGGTAGCTGTTTCTGTTTTCTTACTGCTTTCAAAAAATTGTTACGAGCAGCTACCAACACGCATTCGTATGTGCCTGGGTAGCATGAATTCGAGAGTGAGTCTCACTAAAGTGTGCATGCTCGTTGCAGAGAAACCCACGTGGCACGTAATTCAGTAGAAAGCTGCAACAACTGCACAAAATGCACAACGATGTATCTATAAGAATAGCATTTAATTTATAGCTCCGAGCCGACGGTGTATAATTCATTACGTTATCAGTCGAATGTTTAATGTCGTGCGTTTAAAGCCTGTTGTTAGGTCCATCCCGAGTACAGTGTGCCTTTATCTCGCACGTCATAGGCTGGAGTGCCGTTGTATATGAACTTACATGCATTAGGTTATGTCCCCAATGATAAAATAGAGCGAAAGACATTACGAACCTAATTTTATAAAAGGTTTACTGTCGAAAAAGTCGAAAAGTCAGCCAACCTTGATACAAAAGTTTGCAATTAGATACTAAGTAGTTCATAAGATTACCACCAGATGGCAAACCCACTAATTGGTCACTCTCGTTAGTGGAAAAATCAAGATGTAGTATAAGTTACAAAATCATGATGATGTATCTATCATTATTGTATGTGTTTATTACACAACTAATTTTTTATTCTCAGATTGAAACTTAATAAAAATTGGAAATAAATTGTGCGGAATCTTTTTTTTCTTTGCCACTCGGGCATATAGAAAAAAATTGAGACTTTCGCGAAGGTGCCAAACAATGCACAAATACAGCCCCGCGCTTATATGCATGCAAGTACAAGAACGGGAGAGATCGAGCTTATTAAACGTTAACACGCGAGAGCGGAACGATCAAACGACACGCGTTCTGTATAGCGGCTGAAACCTACGCACACGTGAGAGACAGTAGTAGCCAACTGCGACGATTAATCAATGTTGCGCATATACATACCATATACATACGCTCGCGCGTATACACTCGAGACCGTTTATATCCACACCCTTGGAAGCACGGGCGACATACTGATCTTCCGATAAAATAGGCAAGCCGAGCTCGTGCGCTTCTCGCGACACAGTATTTTCTCGGCCTTTTCTTGGAAAATGTGCATTTTTCTCGCATATTTTATCATTATACATATTTAATATCTGAGTTGCGTTATTTTTAATTTCAGAATTTAAAATTACATTTTAAATAGAATTTGAAACGGATTTTTTTTTCACTTCGGCAAATATTGTTTATATGAAATAATAATAATCAGTACTTAAATTTACGCAGGACTTAGACATAAATATTTACGAGCTGTGCGCGTCGAGGCTGGCTCAACTTTCCTCGCCGAATTGGTCGCTATACAAGAGCTAAATAGCCAAATAAGGAAGGCGCGTAGTCACGTTTGCGAGCTACAAGTGCCGTGGCGTAACCATTATAAACTGTGCGCGTGCACCTGAGAAAACTGGCAGGTATGTGTAAGCGGCGCAACTCCTTTTTGCAAATGAGAGCCTAATTATCATTGTGCGTTTTTGGTGCGCCTCTGGATCTATGCAGTAGGAGGTTGCAGCCGCGAAATCGCTCGAAATTCGAATCCGAAGCTACGCGTCGGAGATCGATTGGAAATGATGCACGTAAGAAATACGTATAATATGCTGCCGACACAACGGCAGCGGCTGCTGTTCTCGACGAGGTGTTGTAAGTAATGGCTGAACAATGACGGCAATAAATAAAAGCTTACAAACGATGAGGTTTTTACTAGCTGAGAAAAGAAAAAAGAAGAGAGAGAGAGAAATTCCCGATAGCTTGAGATTTGTGAGACGATATGCATGTTTATGCATTTCGCGCTCCAATGGAATGATATAATTCAGCTATTTTATAACGCAGAGTGCGTATATGTATCGCAATTTTTATACTTTTACCAAAATTGCTGTATACGAGCTCGCACTGCGTGTCACTGCAATTAAACGATCCCTCGATAATTCGTGTATACAGTAGAGGCATAGAAGAAAAGTACGCTATACGTTTACAATACTTATTGCCATTTTCAAGATTATAAGTATACAGTCTGTGCGTGTGTGTGTATGCACAAGGCCTATCTGTAACACATATTACGAGATAAGTTGTTGGCATAAGCGCTCGACGGGCAGCTACCGACGTACACACATACACACATTTTCTTCTCTCTCGCTGTATGCTGCTGTTCATGCCGCGCGCGCGTGGTGCACTATAGCTCAACAACCGCCGCTTCAAAGAGCGCATGTGAAGCTAGAGAAAGAGAGAGAGAGAGAGAGAGTTTATCGAGCGAAAAAAGATGAATGAGAAGCCTGGAGCGCGAGATCGCCTGGGCGCCAGTTATATATAACCGCGCGCACTTGCCTTCTGGACTTACGCTCTGCGGCTCGATGCGAGAAGAGCTCGAGAACAGCAGCTCAGCACAGCTCCTTTATGCAGCGCCGCGTGTATCGAGAGAAACAAGACTCGCGCATGCACGTTTGCGCAGCACCGTGGATTAATTGATCGCCCCCCGATATATTTATATATTTATTATCGACGCGCCACGGATGTTTTTTTTTCGTCGTCTTTATTTACGCACGAGCGTTAATCAAAGAGATATACAAGGCACAGGCGAAAATTCGCGCACGGCGAGCTCTCTACCCGGCTGGCTCGCGAGCTTTTGTGTATCAAAAGGATAAATCTCGACAAGAACTCGCTGAAGATACTTTATGCGCCTTGAAGCCGTGAAGCAGCCGAGCGACGCGAGATAGTCTCGTCGCGTCGACCTACCACAGTTATGACTCGTATATAATACGACGAACAACGCGCGTACAACGAGCGTTTCCAACTTAATCTCGGACGAGCTCATTTTGCAAATGCACCGGCGCAGAAGAAGAAGAACAACAACAACAAAAACGCGCGCAAGGAGATGTACGTACATGTGAAAACTTTGTTCCGAGTTATCCTAAATGAAAAGATAAGTCGAGACTATCGTTGTCACAAAACACACACGCGTACAACACTACACGCACTTTTGCGCGCAGCAAAACGAACACTAATTTCTCAGCAGCTTTGTAATTTTAGCTTATATTGAATAAAGCGTTGACGACGATCATCCGCTGACATTTTCCGCTTCGAAAAAGCAAATAAGTTTCCTTTGTGTCGACTTCGAGCTTATGAATATAGGAGGATAATTCTGTTGTACGCGCGATGGCTCGCGATTTTTACGACTAAGTGCGAGTAAGCGAGCGACGACTTGCTTAGAGCAATAGATATGTAAATATGGCGCGCGATGCACCGAGGATCGTTAACTAATTTTCAATGCAAACCCGTCGCAGAAGAAAGGTAAAATTTGATGAAATTGTCTTTCAAAAACTTGCTTATGTTAAATGATTAAGCTTATTATGCCGACCAAATTTTTTTCTTTCTCTCGTCGAAAAGTATCGACCTTAAAATGCCAAGTACATAAAATTATCGAACGTTTATGGTGTTTGTAAAGGTACACAGCGTGTACGAGAAAAAAAAATGGCAGGAGATTATTGATGCCCCAGCTCCGCACAAGCAGGTCGCAATAGATTTTCTCTCGCTCGTACTGGATCCGCCTCTACGTAAAGTAATCGCTCGACACGATCGATTTTGAGCTCGAGCTGCTTCTTATATGTGTGTATAAAGCCCCTCTATGCCAATTCACGGTGTGCCGCGATCGTAATCCGGGAACGAAAAATCGTATATACACGCGTGTTACATGACAAGGCCTCCGATAATAGTCGATGAATTCGAATTTGTATTTTTCGCAAAATTTTCGTATTGCGCGCATCGCGTGTTTTATGTGTGTGTGCGCGCGCGTGCCATGCACATACGTGTAACAACGTACAATTGAGTGCGTTTTAAATGCTTCAAGTTTGTGTATGTGTGTGAACCCATCGACAAAAAGACGATTTATTACCCCATTCAGTGCGCGGATCTAAACCGAACGCGATGTACACACGCACAAGTACACGTATGCGAAAATCATTTCGATAATAGGTGTTGCGAGGAAAATTGTATATAATAATGATAAAAAGTAAACGGCGTGGTGTACCTATATATATCGCTGGCGATCGCTATCGAGAATAGAGCGACTGCGCGGTTTATATTATATAGCAGGAGCAGCAGCAGCACATGCACCTTTATGGATATATTGGCGCGCGCGTTTCGCGAACATCGCACAAATCGGAGGGTGTTTTCTTTCTCTCTCTTTTGCGGATCGCTCTACCTATACGGATCAGACAAACGGGCGCGAGAGTCCGTGAATGTGCTCGGCTGCGTGCTGCGCTGTTTTTTGCATGCGAAACGCTCGTTATCCCAGTCGAAATTGGACGTTACGTATGTATAATATAGTGCCACGCGCACACATGTACTTTTATACGTAGATCAGACATCGGCAGCAGCGGCAGCACACGTTTATAAATTAATATTTCATTCGCGTTGAGCTTAGATGCATACGCACAAAGTATCGAATCGATTGGCAACTCGAACCTGGCTGGCAATTAACTTGAAACAAGGCAAAAATCCTAGGCGAAATCGGAAAAAGGTCTTATACACGCAGCTATGTCAAAGTATATTTAGCTGCGCAAATTATGCTGGTCTGCGCATAATGAATATCGATTGCGAAAGTGTATAATCCATCGAGCTATGATCATAACTACAGAACACAATCACGCGAATTATTATGAGATTTGCAATGTAAAAGAGTACATTTAGGCTATGATACCGTGAAAAATCATAAAAAATTGAGCTTTATTACTTTTTATTAATGATTGTACGCATCTGAATGTAAAAATCAAAAGTAATTTTATTTATTCATTTAGTGATATTGAAGTTGAATTCATCATTATATTTATTTATTAATGATGTTACAAATATGCAAAATTACATCACCCTTCGGAATCTTTATCAGAATCTTCTCCGGGTTATTCTTCGGAATCGTCATCAGAATCGTCTCCGCGTTTATCTTCAGAAACTTTATCAAGACCTCCCCCGTATTCATCTTCGGATTCTGATGAAGATTCATCAGAATCCTCTTCGGAATCGTCATCAGAATCGTCTCCGTGTTTATCTTCAGAAACTTCATGCAAACCTCCCCCGTATTCATCTTCGGATTCTGATGAAGATTCATCAGAATCCTCTTCGGAATCATCATCAGAATCGTCTCCGGATTTATCTTCAGAAACTTCATGCAAACCTCCTCCGTATTCATCTTCGGATTCTGATGAATCTTCATCAGAATCCTCTTCGGAATCATCATCAGAATCTTCCCCGGATTCATCGTCGGAATCTTCATCAGAATCATCTTCGGAATCATCAGAATCTTCATCGGAATCTTCATCGGAATGTTCTCCAGATTCGTCATCAGATTCTTCTCCGGTTTCACTCCAATCTTGACCTAGTCTGTCGATTAGTTCAATAATATCATCGGAATCGTAATCGTAATCGGACGAAGACATTATTTTGCGTTCTGATGCACAAACGCAGTTGTTTATAATATGAAATATTTTTTACTTATTTGGCGAAAATCACTTGCTATTAATCGATCCGATATATCTGCGATTACTCTGCGGCTTCGTAACGTGTACACTTGACCGAACGCCTTAAACTGCCTAGAGACGAATCAGTTTAAGCGCTTGAGCAATAATGTAAACACGTATCGCAAAACACAAAACGAGATACGAACTTTTGAAATGTGTTGACCGACGCTTGATATTATTTTGCTACCGAATTGGTATTATATTAAACACAATATTCGAGTATATGGGCCTAAATAGTGTTACTAGGTGTTATCACGAGGGTATATAATTTTTCCTTTTTTGATGCTTCAGTATTCGAGCCATGATGCGATTCGCATATTATAATTGAAGCGGATTTATACCGAGATCTTTGTATGGTATAATTGTACAAAGTAAAACACAAGGACTCATGAGAACCTCATAATCAAACAAATGTAAATAAAAAATTTTTTGAAATAGTAGTTTTTACACATTTTTTTAGTCAAAAACTGGTCACGGAAAAAGGGTGGAAAATTTAATATGGCCATAAATAGTTGAAAAAACATTACACTTTCAGTTTGTATATTTCCTATTCTAATGATCTTGTAATTACAATAAAACCAAAAGCTAGCCATAAAATATTCAACATTTTCACAATTTTAAGAGCACACGCGTGCAGTGTACATAATACAAGACGAACCCTAGCTACGAACCTCGCCCATCGCGAGTGGCGCGAGGCCCACAGCGATCGCGCCGCGATCCGCGAGCGGCCTGCACCTCAGAGAAGACGTGTCAGTTAGATGCGCGCAGCCTTACGAAAGAGGATTCGTGCCCCGGGACGCGCACGGCCTGTTGCAGCTCGAGCGCGATGGGCTCTGCTCTATCGGGACTTGATTTATGCGACGTTCCCACGTTAAACCCAGCACACCGCGTTGTAATAATACGTGGGCGGTTTTTGTTTTTATAATGTGTAAAACCGTCACATTTGTATGACGCGAAACGATAATCTGCTCGCGCGATTCCGATCACGATTTTTCTAAACGCGATCGCTCGACACTGCCGGAGGAACGGCCACATCGGCTCGTGAGTGTCGAAAATGTCCTTCTTTATGAATTTCCTCCTCTTAGGTTCGTGATACGTCCAAGCTGCCGCAATGCTCGTTCATGTATATAAAATAAATATATATCTATACGTACAGCCAAACGAGGACAACGTAGGTAATTAGTCGTGTTGCATTGAAATACTCTACCTGCACTTGAGAATGGTTAGTGGCTGCTGCCTTTATATATGCGAGTATACGTACACGGCAGAGACATAGAGCGTACGAGCATATTAACGACTCACCTGCAACAAAAAAAGTCGCGAGTATATCGCATTAGATCGTACACTTATACACATATAGTACATTATAGAGTATTATGTGCCAGTGCTACCGGCGAGTACATTACGCAAAAGTCCGCGCGCGCACAGAGGCACGCAATAGTTAAATTTGCTTATGATAATGAAGGGGGCACGAGAATTGCCCAATGTCTTTTCCAATATATAAGCAGTGTATATACGACTGAACGCCTATATTGTATACGCGTTATTGTGTTTCGCAAAAGCTCCGCTCGCGCTCGCATTTAATAACTCAAATTTGACATTGACAATTCGCGTCTGGCAGGACTTTGAAGTGTATATATGGTATAGTGCCACGACTTATGATATCGACGTGATTCAACGATCAGCTCGACGACGACGACTGTCCTTTCACGTTTCACGTATCTAGATAAATACGGTATACATACTCGATTCGTACCACGTCGCGCACAGGTGCACCACTGCTCGTTTGCTCGCGATTTGATTTTCTCGAGTCAAGGGGTACCATATAGATCTAACGTGATCTCTCAAATGGAAATGTCATTATTTATTTCAGCTGCTTCCTCGATTATTTCAGATGCAGCTTGGCTCGTAAATAGCGCAGGTACCTGTTGTAATATACGTTTTATAATATATACACGGATGTATACATGTATACGTGCTGATACACACACCAGAGTGCACGTGGGGGCACACGATATAGCCAGGGATATAGCTCGGAAGCTGCGCGCTGCGCGACCGACCGTTAGGAACCGACGCTCGAGACGCGCGAAGCTTAACGAGCCAATGTCTCGGCGCTATATAGGCAAGTATTGCTCACGAAATGTGTTCTCTCTCTTTCTCTTTCACTCTGTTGCTCGACCGTGTGTGTGGGAACCAAAATCGCAAGAGCTTCTGCAAGTACGCCGAGCGACTTATACGTATATGTACGTACTCTAAATCTTTTGCTCCTGTTTATGTGTGGGGTAAGCTACTTTTTCATACAACCTCTGCTACATGGCAGAGTAGGTATACATCCGCGAGAATCGAAAGAACTGAGAAAAAAAAGAACGATTGAGAGATCGATTTGCTCGTGCTCCATACATATAGCGAATCATTCGGATATACTCCGGCTCGATGATCGTCATTTCAAAAAACACAGTTCATAACTTACACGCGCTTTGTAAGTAAATTTTTTCCTCGGTGGAGAAAAAGTCAAGCTCGCGGGCTCGATAATTTCAAGTTTACAGTCGCGCACGTACCGCGCAACACTGCGTATTGGCCAGCGCGAAGCTCGTTTTTACGTTGAAAGCGAACACACGCGCGTTTTTTTAAACGGCCCCTGGGAATATAAGAAAATTTTTATCAACAATGACAAAATACTATTGCCTTGGCGAGGCGAAGCAGTAGTGGTCGTTGTTGTCCGCCTAAGTCCCAGAGAGTGCATATAATGCGAGATAAGAAATAAAAAAGCTCCATTGTCACCACGAGTCCGAACGATGCACACATGCAGCAGCAACAGCAACAGACACCCGTAGGATTTCGCGACTTTTCTATTCATTCGTTTGTACTTGTATGGGATAGTATGCAGCATAGTAGGATGTATCCCTTCCGAGTAGCAGTAGTAGTCGTAGTAGTAGGTATTACACGTTTTCTCGGCAAAATCTCCAAATCGACGAAGTAACTTGCACACGGTTATGTGTATGGCTCGACTTCTTTTTCTCGTGAGTTTTTTTTTCTCTTCTTCTCTCTCATCCAACTCTTCGCGACTATAAGGTCTACGAGACAGAGGAGTCTTCCTCTCTTTTATGAAAATACGCGTCGCTGTTGCTGCGCTGCAGCGCGACTCACCTCGTATATATATAGGTTTTTGCGCGTGTATACGTGCTTATGCATTATTCAACATGTGGTGCACATAGTGCATATATGCACTCACAGACATGCATACACACGCTCACACTCGTCACACACATATACACGAAGGAGGCGTGTATGTATGCGCCTGTGCTGCAGTTCGCCATCTCATGCAGAATGTGGATTTAGATGAGATCGTCGCGCGAGCGAGGTGCTTTTTTTCTGTATTTTTTTTGCCTGTACCACAAACAAGTCTGTATACTATGCGCCAGCGCGAGGCGAACGAAAGATTTCAGACGGCGAATATATATATGTAGAGTTTGTGTATATATATCTTGACACATAACACTTTGCTGATTTTTCGCTGCTCAACGTGCTTCACGAGATAAATAGCTTTGATGTTTTGAAAGGATTGTGGAAACTTATACTTCCACGTGTATACACACGCGACGGTACCAGCCGTGTCCAGCCGAGAAACGTCATACGGCGCGTTTTTCCATGCTCGAGCTGCACGCGTACTGTATCATTTTTAATCTTTAAAATCACAAAGGAAGAGAAAACTCTATACCCAATCAATATTCGATGTGCTCACAATAATTTATAAGGCTCATTTTTATTGCAAAGAATAAAACACACTCGACGCTAATAATCACGCGTATACGAACCGTAAATTCGCTGCCGCCGGTTATAAACATTAAATACACGATACGTGCATAATGCGCGTGTGTGTGTGCCGCGCATCGCGGCAGCGCAGATAAGAGCAAAATAATCTTCACTCCCGGTGTACGGCAAAAGTTATAAGCTAGCCCGGTATACGTCGTGAGAAACCTATTTCGGTCTCTAAGCATTTTATTCGCGTGTAGACACAGGCTATGCTGCTGCTGCTGCTGTTGCTGCGGCCGCCACCGCACACATATCTCAAAGGGCAGAGTCGCTGCGCCAAGCGGCACCTGGCAATTAATGTAAATAGCGCATAAAGTCATTTGCGCCGTGGCGAACGCGCCGTTTTATATATGCAATTTGCATGCCTTACCCCGTAAATATATAAATATATATATGCTGTATAAAGAAGTTTTTTTTTCACCTACCGATTTCTTTAACGCGCTCGCCCTTTACGCGGTCACGACTCGTGCGCGCGGCAGGATAAACACCGTAGTTTTGAAGCTTAGCTTTTACATCTTTTTACAATGCTGATAATCGCGAATAATTACACGCGACGTTTACATGCACTACTCGAGAGAGAAAGAGAGAGAGAGAGCGGCTTCTAAGAGCGAACTACAATTTAATATACGAATTTGCCTACGTATACCCATGCGAGTCGTTTATCTTTTATGCAGCTCCTATATCTAGCGTAATACATAATTCGGCTATTAGCCATTCGCGCGTATAAGATGCATATATGCACCAAAGTTCCGTGAAATACCTAATCTTGATAAATAAATCGAAAAATCGCGAGAAAACGTCAATACGTGTGCGCCGCAGCGAATAAAAGACGATCGACGCGCGCCTGCATTTGTAAACAAGCATATATGGATATCTGTACAAATAAGCAAACAACGTGTATACGTAGACGATACTCGCACACACACATACATACACAAAAGGGTATATTGACTGCGCGCACCTGTTATCTTCTTTTAATCGACAGCTTTTATAAAGGCTTTATGCCGATTCGATTTGCAACTTTCTCGGACTTATCGTCCAGCGAGATCTCGTTTGCATACACAACTGTATGTGCATGCAATATATATATGTATGCACGTACGCGGTAATTCACGCAATTCAGTAAAAAGCAACCGATTGTAAAAGCTGCGCAAAAGAAAAGAGGGATTTATGCGATTTATCAGCGCAAGAGCTAAGCGTATGCGTTTATATGGTTTTGTGGTCTGCTGTACATTTATTTTCTTTTCGTATACCGATCGAGTCTCGAGAGAAACTCTTGCCTCCTGCGTGA